CCTCGCTCCGAGGAGCCGGGCAGCCTTTGGCACGCACAGATTAAACATTGACGTACCCGGCACCTTCAGGTGCAGGAAACAGGCCAGGACTTTCAACTCTCTTAAACAGCTTTGCGAGGGTTGAAACGCAGGCGGCGGCCAACGTGAAGAGGCGCTACGCACCTAAACCCTTGGGCCAACCTAGCCCGAGAGCCCCTCCCAGGTCACAGCTATCCCCAGCCAGCCTTTGGCACGCACAGATTAAACATTGACGTACCCGGCACCTTCAGGTGCAGGAAACAGGCCAGGACTTTCAACTCTCTTAAACAGCTTTGCGAGGGTTGAAACGCAGGCGGCGGCCAACGTGAAGAGGCGCTACGCACCTAAACCCTTGGGCCAACCTAGCCCGAGAGCCCCTCCCAGGTCACAGCTATCCCCAGCCACTCCGCTGATCACCTGGCACGAGTGCGTTAGGTCTCAGCCCGCATCCCAGCTTAGAGCTGACTCCTCAGACCCATTTTCCCCGGGCTCGCAGTGAGGTGCGGGAGCTCCCAGTTACCTGCCTGCCGGTGCAGGGCGTTGCAGGAGAGCATCACTAGCAAAATAACCCCTGAGGGAGCAGTTCCATCTTTAAGTAAAGGGATCCGGCTTTATATTAAGATTCCTTTCCTAAAGGGCTGTCAAACACTTTCAAGTTGCTCTCAGGCGCTCGCAGGCAGCGCATATGACACGTTCCAGCAGAAAGTTTCCTGGGTCGCTGTAAGTCACAGCTACAAACAAACCGCTGCTCTGCCTGATTCTATAGCGATGGATTAATCATTTACTACCCCTTTTTAAACTGGTTAAAATGGGACTTTAAGCGAAAGCACACCCAAAATAAAAAGTGGGTTCCCACCAGCTACCATTTTCCACAGCCCGCTGGTGCATGCAGGCGCTGGGCCTGGCTGTCCCGTCGTGTGGGGTTGGTCCCCGCGGGGCTCTGGGGCCAGGTTTGCTCGCCCTTCCCCTTCCCCCGCGTTTAGATGAGATGACAAAAGAGGCGCCTGCTATCACCGCGGACAAGGCGGGAGGGAGAGCCAAGGTCATCGCACAAGCTGCGGCAGATTAGCTGCAACGACAGCCCGGCTTAACGCATAATCACGGGGGGGGGGACGCAGGCGGGGACGCTCCCGGGGACGCCCCGAGGTCTGTGCGGGGGGAGACGGGGCACCCGTCACCCCGGTGCTTTGGGGGACTCTCGGTGCCTCCAGCGAGGAGAAAGGCCTGGGGCAGGCTCTTGCTGGCCCCCATCCTCAGCTGCTGGGGATCTTATCGCAGCCGGTCCTTGGGGCTTTCCTTATCCAGAGGATCCCAGACCCTCGTTACTGCCAGTAAAGCAGAGTTTCCTCCATAGCTCTTTTGCTGTAGGAGCTGGGAGCGGAAAATCCTGCTCGCGTCCTCGTATATGAAAGCACTCCTCCTTCCCGAGCGGACAGAAGAGAAACTGCCCTTTCCGCCGGCCCCACATTTTTGGCGTCCGCTCAGGCTCCCGCCGGGCGGCTGCAGAGCCCCTCGGGTCCCGCTGCGCCTGGGTCTGCTGTCGCGAGGGGCCCCCGGGAGCGAACGTGGGCTTTGAAGAGGCCCTAAACTGATGAAGAGCTCGAATGGAGAGCAATAAGCCAAGCGCAGCCGAGGGCGGACGGGCCGCTTTGCACGGCAGCTGAACTCATGCTAGGAGATGGTCAAAATACAGGCAAGGTCAGGGCGCTTTCATTGCAGGCTGCCCCCCAAAAAAAACCACTCTCGGACTTTCATCCTCTTGTGAGGATGAGCCAGAGATGTATTGTGAGCATCGAGCGCTGCAGGTAAGGTCCTTGGGGGATGCTTCAGGCTCCCTTACTCCCCGGTTTAAACCAACCCCTCGCGTCAGAGTGAAAGCTCCTGCGGCAGGTTATCCCACGTCTGCCTCCCGTGGGACCTCTCGTGGGCGCCGAGGCGGCCAGCCTGGGGACGAGGCTCTCGGGAGGGCAGAGCGGGGTCAGCTCCGGTCTCCCCCTGGCCTCAGCCTCCTGCTCCCGTGCGACCCCAGCGATGGAGGGACCACGTCTCATGCAGGCAGCTCTGGAGATACTGCTTCATCCCAAACTGGCTCAGCTTCCTGGGAATGAGAGAATTTTGAGATGCCAAAATATCCTGTTCCCTGCATCCCTTTTTGGAGATGCAGGATCTTTGCTGTGGTTGTTTTCTGACACATTTGATGCCAAGGGCTTGTAAGCGATCAAAGGTTTGACTGCAAAGACAGGCAGATACCTTGGCTTGCCTTGATATCTATTTATCCAGGCTGGAGCAGGGCAATGACAATCTGTCTTTGATGTGGATGCAGATGGAGGAATGAATCATGTTCAGCATCAGCCAGAAGAAGGAGGGACAAGCTAGGGGCATTGCTACCTAAATTCAGCCCACTCATAAATAAGAGAGACTTCCCTGCGTTTATCAGAAATTTCCCAGCATGGCTAAGTCTGATCCCTGCAAAAGCACTTGGGGCCAGGCATCCAGAGAAGAAACAGGAAAATTTCAGAAGGTCGGATGGGGAAAGAAAGCTAATGAGCATTTGCATCTCTGCCTGAAGGAGGTTGCCCACAGAGAAAGATTTCATCTCT